AAGTGGTTAGTGCCACTTTAGGCTTCAGAGCAAAGTGGTTCAATCCATTTTGATTACAATTCTCATTAGAAACACTAGTTTTCCAAAACAAAACGCATAATCCAGAACTTAATTCAATTACACACATTTCTCACGAAGTCATCATGGTAAGAAGAAAAATAATAGATATCCTTACTTCTCATCAAATAACAGACTGTAAAAACAGACCCTTTGGCTTAAACGATCATTCTTCATCGTTGTATGTGAATGTTTTACAGGAATCTCGTTCTTCTTGTAATTCTCCATTACCCAAACGGAGGTAAACATTTAATACAAAAGCTGTTCTTAACAAGAAAATTTTGCTTGATTTTATTTTATTTAAATAAACTGCTCACGAATACTCTATGTATTTGGCAAAATTGTGTGTTGTTCCTCTTGATCTGAAAAAGCTTCAGTTCACTCCAGTCTTGTCCGACCATTGCTCATTACAATATTCAGTGTAGAGTATATAATTAAGCTGTTTTAAAAATAAATTGCTCATGTCTGATCATGTTCTGAGCTTATATTATTGAATGGTATAAACAACAATTCTGTACATTTTGCTTCCTTCAGAAAAATGGAAATGAGTCAGGACACTCCACCAAAGCTCAACGATCAACCTGTTCTTCCTCGATCATATCAGGTCTTCAAGCAATAATTAACTTAAGTATTAATAATCTATTTTTAGTTACTAATTCTAGACGGAGATGTTGGCACAAGCCATAGACGAAAATCTTATCGTCTGTTTACCAACGGGTGTGTAGTGTACTGTCACCATTTTCTTGTTCAATGTAGGACAACAAACATTTTTTTTATTGTTTATTTCTAGGCACTGGAAAGACGTATATATCCGTTATGTTGATAAAGGAATTATCAGCATCAACAAATCTGAAACTTTGTGATGATGGTAAACGAACCATATTTCTAGTTAAGCAAGGTTAGTTTTGTTTTTCATACTTTTATGTTTTATTTGTTTGTTTGTTTGTTTAGTGACACTTGTTCATCAACAAGGTGACTATATTTCTATGCATACTGGAATGAGTGTAGGAAAATATTATGGTGAACTGGATATCGAGCTATGGGATAAATCTAAATGGGATAATGAATTTGAAACACATCAAGTACTTGTCATGACTTCACAAATATTTCTAGATATATTAACTCATACATATGTCTGTAAGTGTATATATATATATATATATTTATTCTCGATTTACCGCCAACTGTAAATTTCAGAGTGATTTTTAACTCCAGAATAGGATATAAATAGGCTTGTGAAGGAAAACTTGCTCTATCCAATGGTGTACATATTGTCGAATTCTAATGTAAAACTGCGAAAAACTTCCTTCTTTTTAGAAAAATCATCATTTTTTAATTGCATATTGTACAATATAGAGTAAAGTATTCTCTGCCATTCCCAGCTCTCCCATATGTTTGTTGATAGACTTATGATCATTTTGGAGGTCATATTACAAACGAGGTATAATATTTGAACAACTTTCTCAAGTATCGAATGGAAGAGAAAAGCTTTTCGAATTTGTCGCCGTTCGACAGTTCTGCTTTTCGACACTAGTGAATTTCAAGCGAAAATTTTCAAACAGACTAGAAATTCGACCGATTTTTCGCTCCACTTCTCTACTAGAAAAGTAAAAGCATAAACACGTAGACAATCTCTACATCTTTACGTCATCATTTTTCTATATCTTTATATCATTACGTCTTTACGCTATTACGAAAAATTTCAAAGAGCCGGTTGAGGACTAGTTACGAGTCCACCTGACGTAGCGGAAATGTTGTATGAAGGTGTAAATGAGTGAGGTCGACAGAGCACAAAATTCTCTAGCTTTCTACCTAGAAAATCATCAGTAGTCTCCGGGGCTTAGTGGCTGGACATTGAACGCGGTCTGGTGACTCACTCTCATGTCCATCCATCCTACGCTTTTACGTCTTTACCCTTTTATGACTTATTATGGCGCCTGCACGTCTAGAATGTATATATCTAAAATCTCGTAATATATAAATATCAGCAAAATAATTTATTCACTTTTAAAAACTCTGTCGAAATTTGTATGTATTCGAATTTCGGGCGAAAAATTTTCAACAGGCTGAAAATTCGACAGATTTTTCGCTCAAAATTTGATACTGTGGAAACACACTGTCGAAAACTGTTTCTGTCGAATTACGAAATTACCGAAGGTCATGGAGAGTTGAGAATGATCTTATTTTATAGAAGACGCTTTACTCTATAATACACAATATTCAAATAAAAAAAATGAAAACTTTTAGTAAAAAGAGGGCAGTTTTTCTCAGTTTTCTCTGCCAGTGCACATTGAAATTTGTCAATATGTACATCATTGGAGTAAGTTTTTCTCCGTAAGCTCATTCATATCCCGTGTTTGGGATCAAAGCCCCTTATAGTCGCCATTGAGTTAAAATGGCATTGAATTGAAGTATATATTATCTCATTTCTTATTTCAAAGCTTTATCACAAGTCAATTTATTAATATTTGATGAATGTCATCATGCCACTGGCGCTGATTCATACGCTGTAATAATGAATGAACATTATGATAATACTTCTGGTAATATGCCACGAATACTTGGTTTAACAGCATCAATTACATCAAGAAAAATTAAAGCTCATAAATTAGAAAAAGAAATGCAACAACTTGAATTAACATTAAAATCTCGAATAGAAAGTGGTTCATCTCGAGAAGAGAGTCGACGACATGGAACATCGGCTGTAGTAAAATATATTCCATGTATACCGTATAAATTGAATTGTAATGATAGTGTAAAAATGTCATTTGAGGTAGAAACTAAAATCATGTTTTTAATATTAAAATATAGTCGAATTCAAATTTATTTTTTCTTCTTCTTTCTAGATCTTAAATAAAATATCATTAGAAATTGAAAAACATCATTCAGAATATCGTAGTAAACGAGATGAACAAGAGAATCAATTAAGTGAAGTAATGTTATTTACAGATTATCGACATACAAATATGATTAATTATAATGAACAATCGGCATGTTACATGCAAATATGTCAGTCACAATCTATAACTGTACCAAAATTAAAACGACATATTGATAATATTAAACATATGGGTAATGATCTTGGTTTAATGGGACTCTATTTAGCATGTTTACATTTAAAAACTTATTTGAAAGATGATTTAAATAATCAATTTTCTCCAATGAATTTTAATAAATCTCAAGAATTGTTTATGAATGTTTATAATAAAATTGAATTAATGACCGATACTATATTGTACAAGTTGATTGAAGAAAATTCAACAAACTATCATCTCTTGTACAGTGAAAAAGTTTGTTTGCTATTGGAACAGATTGTTGAACAATATGCTTTAACATTATCATTTGAAACGTATGACTGTAGTCATTCACCAATGAAATGTATCATTTTTGTTGAAAGAATATGTACTGCTATTTTATTATCAGAATTATTAGAGAATATGTGTCAGATAAGATATCCAGAGTATAAAAGTATAAAATCAACACATATTGCCGGTACAAAATCATTTGGTATTAAAGATCCAATGAATGCAAAACGTCAACGTCAAATTATTAATGATTTTCGTAGTGGAACAATAAATTGTTTAATAGCAACAGCTGTCGTCGAAGAAGGTCTTGATATACCACAATGTAATCTTGTATTTCGATTTAATAAACCAAATAATTTTTGCTCATATATGCAGTCAAAAGGACGAGCTCGTGCGAAACAAAATGCCTCGTTTATAATATTGATGTCATCTGACGATCACAAAGCTATGACAGAATATCGTGAATACGAAGAGATTGAAGAAGTAAGTGAAACAAAAGATTTTACACAATTTTTTCCTCATTACAGAGATGTCTATTTAGATATTACAAAGTGAACTTTATTTTCGTTCATCCTCTTTTGATGATGATATTGAAGATGCCACAAAACTCCCACCATACGTAACAGAAAACGGTGTTGTCATTGATGCAACACGAGCTGTTCGACTTATTTACGAGTAAAAAGACATTCGATTTTTCTTTATATTGCACAAGTTCAATCATTGTGCATTGTTTCCCTGTTTTTTTTTCTTTCTTGTTAGATATTGTGCTATACTTGGTCACGGTCAAATATTTCCACCGAGAATTTTATTTCATGGTAATGGTCCATATTCATGCATTCTCTCAATGCCCGCGAATTGTCCCGTTCGAGATGATGTTATAGTATGTAGAATATGTTGCTTATATAGAGAATTGATCATGTGATTAAAAAAAATTGATTATTTTTAGTGCAAACAAAACAAGAAAGGTCTTGCAAAATATGAATGTTGGTAAATAACTTAAATAACTTGTTGTTGTTTTTTCGTAGAATTTTTCTAATGTAAAGACTGATAGTAACTTAGGAATTCGTAATCTGCAGGAATTATGTGTACAACTTGAAAGGAGCTTACTGCATGAGTACGAGAATATAAACAAAAATTCCCGCAGAGTTCGCTAATATCTTATTCTGTAAAGAAATATGCACTCTACATTTCTAGTAACTCAAAAAAATTTCATCTACAATATTTTGCAAAAATGATTCATCACTTTTCAAAATAGTTTTTTATTTAAATTGGAACAAGTTTACAATATTTGAAATCAGTATTTCATACTCTTTTTATATCCCAATTTCACAACTTTTTATCGATGCTTTTGTGTTAACCCACACTGACTAAAATAAGAGTATATAGTTTTTGGCTGCACGAAACTATAGGTTCTTAATTCCAGTTGTTTCATTCTTTTTATCTGTATCATGAGACATTGAACAATAAATAACTTTTATTTGTCTGAAGAAATTATTTCACCTGGTGAAAGTTCTGATCTATTTCTTTCGAAAAATGGAAGTTATTTATCGTTAATCCTAGTGGATGTACTTGAGCCAAGTACTTAGATTAAGTAAAGAAGACAGTACTTGTGGACTTTTGCAAGTAAATTTGCTTGTCAAGCACTTGTTTCATCTATTTTTATTTTGCATTTTACACATATTCTGGAGCTATACTCTACTTTTGAAACGAAAATGCATCCACGGCTGCTAAGTTTGTTTAACTCAGTAGAATATATAGATTTATTCCATAAGTGTATAACTATTGATATTGTGCTGTTTATATACAATTGATCAATGGATAAGAAAAGGGTGAGTGACTTGTCCAAGTACCTGGCTGAAGTAAGTCAGGTAACAACACTTGGAAAGTTCTTGATCAAGTACTTCTCAAGTGCTTATCGTGTAATCGGGTACTTGTACCAGGTACATTCACTAGGTCGGTTAACCTTTTATTAGTCTGCCTATCATTTAGTACAGGCAAAAACTATTTGCTCTTATTTTAGTCAATGTGGGTTAGCACAGAAGCATCGATGAAAGTTGCGAAATAGGAACATAAAAAAGAATATGAAATACTGATTTCAAATATTGTAAAAGCCTATTGTCAAATTGGGCTGATTTAAATAAAAATTGTTTTGAAAGCTGATGATTATTTTTACAAAATATTGTAGTCGTACTCGCAAGAGAACCATCGAGGTGGTAAATCGATTTCCGGTTGGGACTATTTTTGTTAGAAAGGACCTAGCGAGTACCGAAATACCTCAACTTGGTTTATCCCCATGGTGCTTTGTTGCTGAGATATTGAGTTTTTAGTTAGTTTTGGCCTATAGAGCTTGGATTTCGAGCAAAATCCGGCTTTTGAATTTTTGACTTGGAACTTGCCACGCTGGTAGCCCTTAGCAATAGTGGTACGACGGAAAAAGAATCAGTCCTAATGAATTTTTCTGCCTTGAGATATTGAGACTCGAACATTTCATCTGAAGGTGAGGATGAGGGTCAGATCTTCGATTCTCAATATCTCAGGGCGGAAGAAATCATTAGGACCGATTTTTTCCCCGTCGTACCACTATGGCCATGGGCTACTCGTGTGGTAAGTTTCAAGTCAAAATTCAAAAGTCGGATTTTGCTCGAAATCCAAGCTCTATAGGCAAAAACTGACTAAAAATTCAAT